AAGGGCTCTAAACCTTGGATGCTGCCGCCACTCAGTAACTAAGCAGATAGGGGTTATAGTGGGGTTATATTGGGATAATGGAAAAGAAAAATGGAAACTACTATTTAGGGTTATAGAATTATATAGAGTATATATTGGGGCTTTGTGCTGCCCGAGTTGTGCCAGATGCCAAAAGACATAGCAAGAAAGACTTTGCGGATTTTTTTCGCAGAACCGGGACGAGGCTTTTGCACCGCATGGACAACTGCAGGCAGGAGGAGGTGTCGTTCATTGAGAACCCCAGTATATACCCTATATAATTATATAACCCTAAATGGTAGTTTCCATTTTCTTTTCCATTATCCCTATATAACCCCAATATAATCCCAATATCAAGGACCCCAATAACCTACAGTTTAGTAGTAAGTACCCCTTAGTTAGTAGGTATAACCCATAAAACTGTAGGCTATTGGGGTTACCGGGAGAACCAAGGCAAGACTGAGAGCACATCTACCAGCATTCAGCTGATGCAGATGCATGGAGAATCAAATGGAAAAGAAAATGGAAAATGAAATGGAAACCTTGGGTCCCCTTTAAAGGGGTATATAGGGTATAGGGATGTTATAGTGGAGAATCAAATGGAAAAGAAAATGGAAAATGAAATGGAGTATATTGGGGTTATATTGGGGTTATATTGGATTTGTAGCTGGGCGAGAGGGACATGACCATCAAGCAGATGGCGCACGCCAGCAACAAGCAAAAGGGATGCAGTTAGGCACCAACATGTCATAGCCCGACCAACGACAACTCCGGTAGCCTTCTGGGCATGCCGTGTAAGGCCTTAGGCTTCAGGGTCAAACCCACTCCGCACCCAAAACCCTAAATCCTAAACCCTAAACTACCCCAAACCCTAATCCCTAAACTTTAATCCCTAAACCCTAATCCTTAAACCCTAATCCTCAAACCCTAATCCTTAAACTCTCATCCCTAAACCCTCATCCTTAACCCTCATCCCTAAGCCCGACTCTTTTGGATGCAGGGGCTTTCGCGGTTTCTGGCCAGATTCAGGGTGTAGGGTCTGGGATTTTGGAAACCGACGCTCAGCACCTTAACTAAGCTATAGTCTAAACTCCGAAAGGGGGGTTATATAAGGGACTGTATAGGGGAGTATTATAGGTGTTATTAAGGAGGAAACTAGGAGTTTAGACGATGCTAAACTAACCCCTCAAACATGACAGCGAGGCTTCTCTTGGAAGCTCGAGCTGACGTGGACAAGGAAGGCTTCGACATCGATGGTTGCACGCCCCTGCTGCTTGGAAGCATGCGCTCTGCCCTAATCCGTAAAATGCCCGGAAGCCCAATCCGTAGATACCCTGAACCCCAATCGAATCCTTGAATTCCCGGAGCCCTAATCTATCAACCTTCAAGCCGCCCCCGTACATCCTGACCTGAAACTGGCAGTTCGCCGGAAAATGTTCTGTTATCTATAATCCTGAGACCCAGCTGAAGCTACAATATGTAGTAGGGTTCTGCGGAACTTAAAGGAAATTTCCTGAACCCAAATCGCTGAAACCCAAACCCCAATCTCTAATTCCTAATCCCTCATCAAGAAGCGTTGACCTTTGAAGCCCTCTGAGCCCTAAACTCTAAACCCTAAACCCTAAACCCTAAGCCCTAAGCCCTAAACCAAAAGCCCTAAGCCCTAAACCCTAAGCCCTAAACCCTAAACCCTAAACCCTGAACCCTAAACACTCAACCGCGTACATGTCCTGAACCCAAGGGTTGCGGCTGCGCACCGCGACCATGACGCAATCGTGGAGCTCCTGATCGCAGCACAGCTGAGCTTCAGCGTTTGGGGTTTTTAGGGCTTAGGGCTTAGGGTTTAGGGTTTAGGGGTTTAGGGTTTAGGGGTTAGGGGTTGAGGGGTTTAGGGTTTAGGGTTTAGGGGTGAGGGAGTATAGGGCTGAGGGTTTGGGGATGTGGGGTTTTCTGGAGGGATGAGGGTTTGGGGTTGAGGGATTTGGTTGAGGGATGAGGGTTTATAGAGTTGGGGAACAGAGTTCAGGGTTTAGGATGAGGGTTATTTAGCGATGAGGTGTAAGGCTTTGCGATTTAAATGGGCTAGGGTTTAGGGATGAGTGTTTAGAGTTGAGGCATTAGGGGTTAGGTATGAGGGTTTAGCGATTACCGCTGGGTTAGAGATCCAACGGATTGTTTCTCACAGCAATATCCTCCTACATTCCAACAACTTGTTCCGCAGTCATGGTCGTTAAGCTTTGGGGTTTGGGCTGGTGCTCTACAGAGGCCTGGATGCAAAAAAAAACGGTATTTGGTAGTTGCCCAAAATAAGGGGACCTCAATATAGACCCCAAAAAACTATAGTCCTTATTATGGGTACCCCCAAACATGTACCCCTAATTTTGGGAAACCCCCATTTGTATTCTCAAAGTGGGGAGGCTGGGACCGCCATCTAGGCAGGCTCCACTTTAACGTGGTCCTCATGGGTTGCCCTAGGGTTTAGGGTTTAGGGTTTACTACCCCCCCTAGGTTCCCTCTTAATTAAGGTTATCTAAGGATGGTTAAGCCTAATTTAAGGTTAATTAAGGGGGGAACCTGGCGGGGGCTAGTATAGAGGGGGGTACTAGTTGAACCCATGAAGTCCTAAACAGCAGGGATTAGGGAAGTTGCCCCACTACTGCAAATGGCAAAGACAATGGAAACTGACATGGAAAATGGTTGTATATTGCGGTTCACAGGGATTAGGGCTTCCAAGAATTGAGGCGGGTTTAGCGTCTTTTGGGGAGAATTGTGGCTAGTTAAGCGTCCCCTTTTGTGGGCCTTCATAACAACGATCATATTGTATATGGAATGTATACTGAGGCTCTCCTGTGCACGGGCGCCAATTCTAGATCAGGTCCACAGAAAGATTTGGGGTTAAGGGTGAGCCCATACCCCAAACCGTGAAGTCTAAACCATTCTAGGCCACAGACCTTAAACCCTAAACCCTAAACCCTAAACCTTAAACCCTAAACCCTAAACCTTAAACCCTAAACCTTGAAGCCTCAGCCCCAAAAGCATTTGTAGATTGCAAAGATTAGAGGATCCTTTTGAAGCTGCTCAGCATGCCATGAAGAGATTCAAGATTCAGAAGGGACATGGTTTTGGGTTTGGTTTCTGGAGTCGAGGGATGGGATTTCCAAAATTTGCGGGTCACGTTTTGGGACAGTCCCCATCGCAAGGATGAAGTTGTGGTCCATGAGTAGTTCTAGCCCATGTATATTATTTACTAGTAGTCATGACCCAAGAATATCTTAAGTCCTCCAGGTACGGCTACAGTTGGGACTGTATTTAACTGCGATATCCTGGGCCTCCAAGTGGGCTACTCCTTGCCCAGATAGCCTTTTTTTTACCGGCCCCTGTATTGTTCTTATAGGCCCCGCCTGCACAAGACTTGATGCAATTAATCCAATGCACCTAATAATGACCCCCCCAACTCCCTTATAAGTATTCTTCCCCCTAATATTACCCTAAACCCTAAACCCTAAACCCATTATTTGGGATGGTATTATTGCGGGGAGGCGGTTGCCTGCGGGCCTACGTTCAGGGTTTAGGCCCAAGCCTTAACCCTTATTGTCAGTGGACCAAATGGGAATTTCCCAAAATCAGGGGTACCTTTTTGGGGGTGCCCATAATAAGGATTATAGTATTTGGGGGTCTATATTGGGGGTCCCCTATTTTGGGAAACTACCAAATCTTGCATGACGTGATGTACCTAAACAAAAAGAATTAGGATCGTAATTATGTTGTACTAAGATGTACTTCGAGCCATGTAGGATTTTTGTGACCCTAAACCCCACTGACAGAGGAGTTGGGGCAATGTTGCATTGAACTGGCTTGCAAACGGTCCTAGGGCCAGAAAATCCTAGCTCTTCAATCAAAACCTACACCTTACTTGGAGGGTCAGGGGGACGTAGTTTGTAGGTTAATAACCCCTATAGCCCATATGATAACCCCAATTCTCCCCATTACTACCCTACTTATTAAATCTCCCTGACCCCCAAGTAAGCCTTCAGAGCAAACCCTTGAAATCCTACTCTAAATGCTTGATTCTCCATCGTAGTTAAGCCCTATAGTCTCCGAACCCTTAGGCTTAGCTCCACGGCCCTGAAGACAATTCCCTGAATTCCTAAATTTCACAAACGCGAAGCTCCAAACGCTGAAAACCCTTCGCGCCAACTTGCCCCAACTTTTACCTCAAGATTCTCAGCCAAAATCCTAAACCTTCAAACCGGAATCCTAGATGCTATCCTGAAATTTCTGTCCCTGTAGGAACAATCTTTCATCTAGTTGTAGTGTGGCCCTCAGGAACTATGGAGAAAACCCTAAACCCTAAACTAAACCTGAAACCCTAAGCCCCAAACCCTAAACACAAAACCCTAAACACAAAACCCTAAACCCTAAACAGCATAGACAGAGCAGAAACCATCAAGCCCCAGGCCATGCTTCTAGATCAGCAAGAAAATATATGTTGTAGTGTGGCCCTCAGGAATGTATTAAATAAGAATAAAGGGTTTAGGGTTTAGGGATAAATCTCATATTCAGTATAGAAACCATAAACCCTACACCCTAAGCAGGCAGCACGTGCTGACGTTGACAAACAGCCCGATTGGTACAACTCTGCGCTCAGCTACGCGAGTCGGGGAGGTCGCAGGGTTCGATTTGCGGTTTAGGGTTTAGGTTGGTGGAGCTTTTATTTCGTTGGACCGTAGGCACTCCAAGCTAGGTAGGGACGTATTTCGGATTATGGGGAGTATGTTGAGAAATTCCGATCTGGGGTTTGGGGCTATGGGCTTGGGGTTAGGGTCCAGGCTTAGGATGTAAGATCGGCTCCGCGACACACCTCGCCAACTGAAATTGATGAAGTCCCTTCCAGTCACATTACAGGATGGGGAGTCCACCTGAGTTCTAGGTTGGGTACTGCCCCCCCCTCAGTAACAGTTGGATCCCAAGTTCTAGGTTTCTGGAGATCCTAACCATTCACTGAGTTCTGGGCCCCAGGCTCTACAGCTCAGTAGTTGACTGAATGGATAGCTGTTAACCTTTTGGGTGTCCATTTAAGTATATATGGGTGGTTGTCAAAATTATGGTCTCTTTTTGGATCCCTTTTATAATACGGCACCTAATATTTACGGTACCCAAAAAGGGACCATAATTTTGACAACCGCCCATAGATACATATATATATATATGTATATACATCCCTACTACAGCTGAAAGGTTACTTGTTCGATGTCAGTCAAACTCAAAGCCCTGAACCCTGAACCCTATATGTCCTTAAATAGTACTACGCTTTAAAGGGGTCTTGAAACCAACCCTAAATCTTAACTCTTTGGTTATTGCCCACGGGCCTCTCCTTTCAAAGGCAGCGATGGCATGTTGCGAATGCTGCTTGAAGCTTCTGGATCATTGTTAAGCTAAACCTTGGAGTGACTTTGGGGCCAAATGAGCTATAGTACTCCCCTATATAATCCTATATCACCCGTATAAGGAGTTTGGACTACAGCTCAAATTAGGTAGGGCTCAGGGTTTTGGGGCTAGAGTTTGGGGTGTAGGTTTTAGGGCAGGAATGGAACGTCACATGGAAAGTGAACGCAAAGTGTATGGAAACCAGGCTTGTACAGGGATCTATCTCCTCGCCCCTATTCCCTTAGCATTAAGTTTTCCCATTGCGGTATACCATAATATCCAAAATATTTATTTTCATGGACAGTACCGGGGGGGGGGGGGGGGATCGGTGTTGCAAGGTTTTTGAACTTGGGGTTGAGTGCATATGTGATTTCTTGTATTTTGCAAACTGCGTGAACTTGTGGGGGCCCTGGAACTCCAAACCCCAAACCCTAAACCTTAAACCCTGACACGAAGCCCTAAACCCTAAACCCTATCATGTAGTCCCAGCGGAAGTTGAGATCCCTGTAGACTGCTCTCCTGCAGATTACATGCCCTTGGAGCAGAACTCCACTGGCAACCCTTAGGGTTTAGGGTTAGGGTTTAGGGTTAGGGGTGGTCACAATAACAGGGATTAATTATCATATTTGGGGGTTTGTATTGGGTCCCTTTATTTAGGGCGAGTACCAGATGAGCACATCTGTCTAACTCTAAACCACAGACTGCAAATCCACCACACTAAATCCTAAGCCCAAAGCCTCAAGCACTAAACCCTACATAAACCCTAGAACCCAGATTGTGCCTAGAACGGGAGCACTACAGTCCCAGATCGGGCAAGACTTTGGTCTGGCTTTGGTTGTAGAAATCGTATCTTCTACGGTGGACATATTCTTCTAGGTTCAACAGCCCAAAAACCTTGAAAACTTGAACCCTTATCCCTAAACCCGGTTCCTAAACCCTGAACCCTAAACGCTAAATCCTAAACCTGAAGCCCTAAACCCTAATCCGTACACCTTGAACCCTAACTCCGAAACCCAGGCAGGAGCGGACCCCGAGCGAGAAGATTGCAAGTCTTTGGTGATGCGCGGGGAGTACGAGGAGGCTATGCGGCTTCTGAAGGAAGCTGCAGCGGAGGAGAAGGCCCGCATGGCTGCTTAGGGTGTAGGGATTTCAGTTTGGGGATTAGGGTTTTAGGGTTTACGGTTTAGGCGGATTAGGGTTTAGAGCTCAGGGTTCAGCATCGCAAGTTCAAACAGGTAGCCAGGCTTCCTCTATTCCACGTGTATAGCATCACTAATAGGGTTTTAGGACTTTAAGGTTTTAGGATTTTAGGGTTTTAGGGTTTAGGGCTTTAGGGCTTTAGGGTTTTAGGGTTTTAGGGTAACCCATGTTATTCATTTTTTGCACCGTTTTTCTTCCTTGGCTCGCCATCCGCCCGTGCACCTCATATCCCACCTTTATAGTGTTTCTAGTATGGAACGCCCGTTTCCCAAAACCTCCAAGGGGGCAGCAACCTCTACCAAGAGCCTTCAGGCCCGAATTCATGAATCTCGAGTAATTAATGGATGCAAAAGACCGAGATCCTACATCATAAGCCCTAAATCCTAAATTCTGAACCCTAAGTCCTGAACCCTAAATCCAAAGCCCTACACCCTGGATCCTAAATCCTCAGCCCTAAATCCTGAACTAAATCCTAGAGTCTAATCGATCAAAATGAATCCACGGCCCTATTCAGGTGTAAATAAACATATAGGTAGAGAGAGTTCAGGGATTGGGGTTTAGGGATTAGGGCTTAAACCCTAAACCCTAAACCCTTAGGAGTCAGAATTTAGAGTTTGGGGATTTGGAAATTAGGGTCCTGTGGAGGCCTATCAATTTTTCTACTTATACACCCCGCACATGAGCTATAGTCTCAACTCCTTAAAGGGGGGTTATATATGGTTGAGGATTTAGGGTTTAGGGTTTAAACTTTTTAAAGGGGGGTTTACATAGGGGGTCATATAGGGGACTACTGTAGGGGTCATGAAGAGGGATACTAGGAGTTTACACTACAGCTCACGTGACTGGGGTTTGATTAGGGTTAATGGATATTACCCCAATCATGGTGAATCACATGGAATAAGCCGTTTGAGATCAGATGGAACATGGTTTCAGTTTGGGGCTTTTAGGGTGAGTCAGGGTTTACCTGGAAAGCCTGGTTGCCGAGGGTTGAGGGTTTAAGGTTTGATAGCGGGCTACTTCAAGCTAAAAGTGGTAGAACATGCTGTCTAGGTTCACCTTGTCCAAGCAGGTAGTCGCGGTAAAGCCAGTGCAGGCCCTATTTCCCGAAACCCTTAACCCTAAACCCGAAACACTAAACCCTGAACCCTAAACCCTAACTGGGTTGCAACCCCCGAAGGTTGTATCCTCCCTTCTGTTACCTCAATATGATGCCCAGGTATGCTTTCATAATGACCCCCATCCCGCCGGCACAGCCATAGTGATCTGACCCCAATGCCCTTCATGTTAGGGTTCCTTCTTCAGGGTTGCTTGAGTTTTGAGCGGGGGATCCATGGTGCACTGTCACCGATCCTTGTCTTGCTACCTGTGGTATGCAAGACTTGTGCATGGGTTCATCAACCAGCCGCCTCTTCAGGGCCCCGCAAGGACTAACATCCCTCTGGAATCACATCGATCCTGCAACTCTAATCACTCTTAAGCGCTAAACCCTAAATACCCCGATGTATTCCCCTAAACAACTAATTGGGTAACTCGGCTTGCTGGTTCAAGTCTTTATTTGGAGTAGGCTTGCTTGCAAGAGATGCCACAACACCGGCTTTCCCTTTCCATCAAAGTGGGTCTAGGGTTTAAGTTTAGGATTAAGGACTCTGCAAAGACTACAGTTCCCTTCAACGGACGCTTTTCACACTACAGTCCCCCTCAAGTAGATAGAATATGGGGTATATGGGGATTTTATTTTAGTATACCCAAAGCCATATTTGGGTAATGGCAAGTAGGTACATGAAAGCAATGCTGCGCCAGCTGCCCGGGAGTCGTATGGGGTAGGAGTTCATTACAGGTTTCGGTGGTCGTATGTAGGATTCCTTTAGCATTTTGGTGGGCGAGCATATTCGGCGTCGTCGTGCGACCTCACCCTAGGAGTTTGGGGTGTAGGGCTTTGGAGAAACACAAGCCTTAGCCGGTATACAGTGGTGAAAGATGTCCGCCGTACACTGCAGCAAGAAACGTCTAAAGCACGGATGAAAACATTGAAGTTATGGTCAGGTTACCCCTGGCATTTCCCTATAGTTACTCTTGAGATAGATCTAGTTCTTCGTAATATACAGTATGAACCCTAAACCCTAAAACCCTAAACGCTGGACCATCAGCTCCGAGGGCAGAGGCTGGTTCATGCCCCCATGATTGATTTGAGGTTTTCAAGAAAGTTCTTCCTTGGCGGGGCGTTCAGTAATGGATCCCGGTAGTTTGCAGAGGCTCAAGACAAGCCTGTCAGACCTATGCATTTGCATAAGCTCGTTAAAGGGGGTTATATTACAGGGATTGTATAAGATCCTCAATTGGGGTTATATAGGGGATTGCCTAGTCATAGGGTTTAGGGTTTGGATTTGTGTGGGCTGCGGTACAAACTTGAATTCTTACAAATGCCATCACCTTCTCTTTCTGAAAACCGTGGTGTGTAATACCACGAAACCAATTTCCAATTACTCAGCTCGATACATACAGCCCCAACATGTGGTGCTACATAGACTCACGTTCCATTCCATTTTCCATATTCTTTTACATTTGGTTGTGTCCACACATGAAAATAGTTAGGCCCCAAAACCCTGAGCCCCAAACGCTACACCCTAAAACTCTAAACCTTAAGCCCTGAAACTTAAACCCTAAGCCCTAAACCCTTTCAGCAGTCGTTTGTGGGCCTTGCAGGTTGGGTAATGGGCTATTGTGGTTGTTGGCTGCCCCTGGTTTAGCTTGACTGGGACCCCGGAACGAACCGTGCCTGCTTCAGCGCGATGCGCGTGCAAAACCCTTTACCCAACCCCTAACCCCCAAGCCCTAAAGCCTAAACAGTAGTTTCCATTTTATGTTTTACTATCCTTATATAGCCCCTGTATAACACTATAAACCCTATAAACCCTATAAACCCTATAACGCCCAAAAGAAGCAAAATACTTTTATCATCTACCATAATGCCATAATATGCTATGATATGCCATAATATACCATTATACTAAACTATATTCTTATATACCATACTATAGCATACCATAATATACCGCAATCTACCATAATATTCCGTAATATACCATAATCTACCATAATATAACATGCTATACCATAATATACCATAATATTCCATAATATGCTAAAGGGCTGAGGCATCCCTCGAGCTGCCCCTCCAAGGGGGGATTTGAACTGTTGCGCTCCTTGCCAAGGGTACCCCCCGGCTTTAGGGTTTAGGGAGGGTTTAAGAAGCTGATAGGAATATGTATGTAGGCTCAGAACCCGACACGCGAAACGCTTTACACCCCAAAACTCTATGAAGCCCTAAGCCTTAAACTAAGGCCTAATAGGGCTCAAAATCTGGATGGGGTACCTTTGGGGGGGAAGAGCATTGGAATCCCTTAACCCTTGGTGGTACATGTGCGTCCCTTCGCACCTGTACGGCGCGCATTTCAAAAGGACGCAGGGGGCTTTCGGAGCTGTCTGGCCATCCAAAGGCCTAGGGCTTATAATAGGGTTTAGGGA